AATAATCAAAAAGAAATCTTTCTGTACTAGAAAAAATATGTTTATGATAATTTTTCTATACAAAAAGAATTATTTCTGCGTTAGAAAAAAATATATATTTATGATAATTTTTCTGCACAATAATTTCATTTCCTATCTTATTTGTCAGTCTGCATAACAATAACCCAAAAAAAAAATAAATAAAAGAAATTTACATAAATTTTCCAATAACAAAAAATATGTCTACTGTCATTTCCATTTACCTAAATTTGTATAATAATTTTCCAACAAATTAACACATATTTTGTGCAAAAAAAAAAATCTGTAGAAATCTAGATTACATATTTCTCAGGACGAGCTTATCTCTTCCGTTCTATAAACATAAACTTATCTTTGTTACGAATGAAAAAAAATTAAACGAGAAAATAAAAATAATTCCTTAAATGTATTCTATGTACAACGGAAAACAACAAAAATCGAATATAAAACCAGTGAGCGGAGCAGTATAGTCGGACGGGGCCGACCATACGATACCCTACACAACTACCACGAACTCTAACTTTCTGAGGATGTTTATTCCGAGTCTGAGTAATATTTCGTGATATTTGCCCCCTCTTGTCCGATTAGAGGTTAACAACACCTCTTCCTTACTTTTTTCGAATATTCAGTACAGTCCTTCTAATTACTTGTCCAGATTACCTTCACGGTGGGTTGTGTTGTGATTTTCGGATTATACTCTACTCGAAAACACACAAAAAATTATGTTTTCGGTCCATTTCATCCCAAAATTTTAATCTGATCATCACCGAAAATTGTAGGCGTTGTTCTTGACCATAACTGGAACTTCATGAAAAATTTCAAAGCCATCAGCGCTATATTTCTCCCTCTAATGTGGTAATGGGTTACTAAATAATATCTGAATACGTAAGCACCTGTAAATATTTGACTGTAACTCCCACATCTGAGTAGATACATCACTATATTTGGTATCAATTTAAACGCCAACCACTCCTCTTGGATATGCTATCAACTCCTGGGGTCTACATCCTCCAGGAGTAAATATATATGCCATAGAATACAAATTTTGTCATTTTTCACACAAAAGTCAGGGTCCATTTGACCCGCTAAATATTGACCGATCTTTATCAAAACATGCATTCTTATTCTCTGGCCTGATCCCCTTCTCCATGCAAAAATTCGCGGTGTTTGGGCCATAATTGCGGCCTCTGGAGCGACCAGAAAAACCGACAAAAATTTAGTATTTGGTCCATTTCATCCCGTAAATATTAACTGATCTTTTCCAAAAACAATAGGGGTCTTCATTGGCCAGAACCCATCCTACATGCAAAATTTCGTGAAGATTGGTCCATAACTGTGGCCTGTATCGTGTTTACAAATTATAATGGACAGACGGACGGACGGACGGACGGACGGACACACATGTCTAGATCGACTCAGCTAGTCGAGATATGACGATCGGTATACTTAAAGGTGGGTCTAGGACCAATATTTCGCGGCGTTACAAACATTTGGGGCTACACAAAGCTATAATACCCTGACAACATAGTTGTGTAGGGTATAACAAGGCCATTTATTCCACTTTGCCCTGCAGTTGTTTATTATTTCAGTTTTATATTTAATTTTTTTCTCGTTCATTCATTCGTTTGTTTTTCTGTTCTGTAGCAAGTTCATCTGTGAAATATAACAATCTATAAAATGTTCTTTACACACACAAATACACACAGAGTACATACATATATGCAGGCAGGAAAAAAACTCTATTTAGCACGGCACTGAATAACAACTGAACTATAATGACAATTTGTTTATTTGTAAGAAAAGTTTATGGTTCGTAGACCATTGTGTCTGTGTCAGTCAGCTAGCCAGCCAGTCGGAATTTTTGTTTTTAACAAATTTCTTATTGTTGTTGATTTTATTATTTGCATTACAAAGTTTTCTTTTTTTTGTTGTTGAAATGAAGATAAAATGCAATTGTTGTTTCCTTTTCCTCTTTTCTTGTTGATGTTGTTGTTGCTGTTTTTATTTCCTCTTTTCAAGTGTTATAGGCACTATTACTTTGGGTACCTTACGTTAAATTATGTCCTACTATAATAAGAGTTTGAATAAATTAAGAAATTGTTGAAAATTTGGGTCAAACAACAAAATATGTATGGAGCATGGGCTATGGAGGGTGAAAAAAACGAGGGCAGATCAAAACTTATACGAATTCTCTACTCAATATTAATCTGTTAAATTATCATTTAAAAAAAGCCATTCTGGGCTCAATATGGAACCTATATCGAAATTCGAAACGATTTTGTCGAAATTTAAAACGAAATCTGCCAGTTTGCATGAAAACAATCAAAACCAGTAAGGAAGGTAGTAAAGTCGGACAGGGCCGACTATATGATACCCTTCACCACTTTGGGCACATTCGACATATGTATCCTAACAGACGACGCGTTTTTGTTATATATCTATATCTGAACCTAGTCTCGGGCAAATTGCCAGAGACTAATTTATTTCACTTCAGTACCTTGTGTCAATCGGCTTAGCTATGGATGTTTTCACGAAGTTTAGAAACATCATTTTAGACTCAATTCAGTACCCTATAAAAAAATGCATGCAAATCGAAAGATATATGGAGATTTTTGTGCACCAATTACATAAAATTGGACGAAAATATATGGGAGCTATATCTAAATCTGAACCCATTTTCACGAAACTTAGCACAAGTCATTCTAGCCTTAATTTAGTACGCTATGACAAATTTCGTGTAAATCGAATGATTTTCAGAGACTTTGGTGCACCAATTACCTAAAATCGGATGAAAATATATGTGGGAGCTATATCTAAATCTGAACCGATTTTCACGAAACTTTGCCACAACATTCTAGACTTAATTCAGTACGATATGCCAAAATTCGTGCAAATCAAAATATTTCCAGGGACTTTAGTGAACTATTTACCTAAAATCGGACGAAGCTATATATGGGAGCTATATCTAAATCTGGACCGATTTTCATGAAACTTAACACACATCATTCTAGACCTAATTCATTACGCTATGCCAAATTTCGTGCAAATCGAATGATGTATAGGGACTTTGGAACACCATTTACAATGAATCGGACGAATATATATGGGAGCTATATCTAAATCTGGACCGATTTTCAGGAAACTTTATGCCAAATTTCGTGCAAACCGAAAGGTATTAAGGGACTTTGGTACACCATTTACATTAAATCGGACGAAAATATATATGGGAGCTATATCTAAATCTGAACCGATTTTTAGGAAACTTAACACAAATCATTCTAGACCCAAATCATTAGGCTGTGCCAAATTTCGTGCAAATCGAAAGATATATAGGTACTTTGGTGCACCAATTACATTAAATCGGACGAAAATATAAATGGGAGCTATATTTAGATCTGAACCCATTTTCTGGAAACTTAACACAAATCATTCTAGACCTAATTCAGTACACTATGCCCAATTTCGTGCAAATCGAAAGATATATAGGGACTTTAGCGCACCATTTACATTAAATCGGACGAAAATATATATGGGAGCTATATCTAAATCTTAACCGATTTTTTGGCAAACTTAACACACATCATCCAAGACCCAAATCATTAGGCTGTGCCAAATTTCGTGCAAATCGAAATATATATAGGGACTTTGGTGCACCATTTACGTTAAATCAGATGAAAGTATATATTGGAGCTATATCTAAATCATCAATAGGGTTCGTCCTTGGACCAAATAAGTGACCTATGCCAAATTCTTTTTGTAAGAAATATATAAATTCCACCAAAGCGTCATTTAAAACTGCAAGACTTTAAATCGATATTTTTTAGGTTTGTCCCCATATAAAATGGTTGCTGAGATTTCTGTATTTTGGGGACTGTAATTAAAAAAATTGAATTCATATTCTCCGTATCAGAATCAAAATTCGATTTATACATTACAATCTGCTGAAATCATCAAATTTATATTCCTATGATATTTGGTATCGAAAATAAAATATATATAGTGGACCACTTTTAATTAGTCCCATACAGCGATTCGGTATTTTTGGTTAATTTTTCTTCAAGTGAATTGAGTCGAGTATGAAATCTACTTACCAAAAATTATCTATAGTGGCCCACCTTGTCCACAGTGGTCCCCCACTTATAATGGCTGCGCTTCGATTTCTGTATTTTGGGGACTTTGGAACGCTTTTCAACCAAAATTGCTGTAATTAAAAAAAAAATGAATTCATATTATCTCCGTATCAGAATAAATGCCTACGCAAATTTATACATTTTCATCTGTTAAAATCATGAAATATTTGCTAAAAGTTATCGGGACATATTCGTAATTTTTAAAACTGAAGCTCAATATTCTAGACTGGGTGTTCCGAATTCGGGTACTTCATTTCCTTCTGGCAGCAAATTACGATGGTGAAGTCCCCAATAAAAAAGTCCTGATCGTTTTTCGATATTTTGAATGTCAACCTCATGGTGGAGGATATCGGAAATTCCGCTCAAAAAAACTTAACGGCGTTTTCCTTGTTTGCTATATGACTAGAAAAATTATTCTAGATTATTTATTGACAAACTATATTTTTATGTTAATGGGGAAACCCCATTATTATTGGTTAATTATTATTATTTTTTTAATCCTTGTAATCTTAGTAAAGAAACCCTCTTCAAAATTAATGCCCATTAATTATAATCATTATTAAAATTAATTGATTAATATGTCTAGTCTTAATATTTTTACGATGATCATAAGGCCATTACACACACACAATAATTTCATAATCCATATAAATCTGCATATGAACACGTTTGCCAAAAGAATATTATATATGATTTTTAATAAGAAAAATAAATTTTATATGAACTACGTGATAATTACCCAGAATACCAAGAATATTAATGTACAATAATATATATTAATACTTTGCTATTTTCTCTCTCTCTCTCCCCCCTCTTTCATTTATTTCTTTCATTCATGTGACTTGCCAACAGTGACGAAATTCATACGTATTGGTATTGCGGATAAGAACGATAATCCACCATATTTCGATAAAAGTTTATATGAAGCTGAAGTTGATGAAAATGAAGATATCCAGCATACGGTATTAACGGTTACAGCCAAAGATCATGATGAATGTAAGTACAAAAAAAAAAAAAAAATCCCACACACTAGCACACATATACAAAAAATATTCGAAATAAGTGAACTGGGAGGATTCGGGTGCCAACCACTTATTTATCGAAAGTATACTTTGTTGGATCCACTTATATATTTGCATACTTTAAGGGATGATGACTATTAAACAAAACCACTTGCCATTGTGAGCGAATGACTGTAGTGCACCCAAAAAAAAAATTATCCAAAGTATACTTTTGGGATTTTATGTTTCATCTTTTTTTTGTTTCTCTTATTTCGTATTTATGCATATTTAATTAATTTATATTTATTTTTCCTTTTCCTCTTGTGACTTCCTTTCTTTTTTAAATAAAGCTTCTCGCATACGTTACGAAATCACTAGCGGTAATATTGGTGGTGCATTTGCTGTAAAGAATATGACTGGCGCCATTTATGTGGCCGGAGCTTTAGATTATGAGACCAGAAGGAGGGTAAGTTGAATATAATAATTTTATCCAAAAGGATATAGGGTAATAAGGATAAATAATAAAACAAAAAAAAATTACACAGGAATTTTAAGAGGTTTACCAAAAAATACATTAAAAATAGTAATAAACTGGAAAAGAATATAATAAAAAATCATGTATGAAAAAATTGTTTTATTTATTATTATATTTATTTTATTAATATTAATTATACTTAATTATTAATCACATAAAAAATTCTTTAAAAACTAAATTTAACATCCTTGCTTAGTATGAGCTACGTTTGGCCGCCTCCGATAATTTAAAGGAAAACTATACCACCGTTATTATCCATGTGAAAGATGTCAACGATAATCCACCCGTCTTTGAGAGACCCACCTATCGTACCCAAATTACCGAAGAAGATGATCGTAATTTACCCAAACGAGTTTTACAGGTTACTAACTATTCTAATCAAAAATAATTAGTTTCAATTTTGGACCAAGTTTTGATTTTTTCCGTTGAGCATAGTTTGAAAAAGTAGTTTGATGCGAGATTTTATGCATGCATTAAATTTTTTTTTTTTAAAAAAAAATTAATTTAATTTGAATTGAGTTTTATTTTTGCTGCTTACATTTTTTCACACACACACAGATTTTATTACACAGTGAAACCTTTTATATTTGGTTCAGAATTTAATTTCAACATACAAATTACAAAACAAGCTCTGACAAAAAAAATGTTGATACCGCATTTGTATTCTGCCATAATGCTGTAACTAGTGTCAATTCTTTTTATACTTTATTAAATATTTACACAACTCTGGCATCAACTCATTTCTAATTTGGTGTGTGTTTTTTTATGTATTTATACACAGGGTGAACCAAAATTCATCATCACGTATTTTTTTATAATTCCATTAATGTGGTAGACCTTGAAAAAAAATATATATAAATACCAGTAAGGAAAGTAGAAAAAAAAGGCTATATGACACAGTTCACCATTTTGGGTATATTGTACATATGTTTGTATGTATTGTATATATGTATACATATGTATCCTTACAATTGCATGCCAATGTTCCCCCGCAGGAACATACTCATGTCTTTCTGCAATCTATGATAAATTTAATTTTATATGGACAGATTTAGAGTCGTCTGCGTACCACGGGACAAATTTATTGAAAACTATTTATGGCAAAATTGATACACACTATTCGGTACGCCGCACTGTTAAAAATTTAATTGCAAACAGACATCCGTTCGAAATACATTTGAAAGCTATGGCTGCATCTGCGCCAATTTCAACAAAACGCAATAACTTCATTCAAGTCTCACTTTGATATGCTGTGCAAAATTTCGCGTTAATTTAACAAACATTAGGAGTTTGGTGCACCATTTATGTAAAATCGGAATCGGAATAATTCATTAAGCCAAATGCCAAATTTCGTGCAAATTGAAGGATATATAAGGACTTTAGTGCACCATTTACCTAAAATCGGACACAAATATATATCAGTACGCTATGCCAAATGTCGTGCAAATCGAAAGATACAAAGGGACTTTGGTGCACTATTTACCTAAAATCGGACGAAAATATATATGGGAGCTATATCTACATCGGAACCGATTTTCACGAAATTTAGCACACATCGTTCTAGACTTAATCCAGTACGATATGCCAAATTTCGTGTAAATCGAAGGATATATAAGGACTTTGGTGCACCATTTACATAAAATCGGTCGAAAATATATATGGCAGCTATATCGAAATCTTAACCGATTTTCACGAAATTTAGCACACATGTTTCTGGACTTAATCTAGTACGCTAAGCCAAATTTCGTGCAAATCGAATGATATATAAGGACTTTTGTGCACCATTTACATAAAATCGGACGAAAATATATATAGGAGCTATATTAAAATCTGCACAGATTTCTCCGAAACTTACCATACATCATTCTAGACTCAATTCAGTGCGCTGTGCCAAATTTCGTGCAAATCGAAGGATGTAAATGGTCTTTGGTGCACTATTTACCTTAAATCGGACGAAAATATATATGGGAGCTATACCTTAATTTGAATCGATTTTCACGAAACTTAGCACACATCGTTATAGACTTAATTCAGTGCGCTATGACACATTTTGTGCAAATCGAAGGATATGGAAGGGCTTTGGTGCACCATTTACATAAAATCGGACGAAAATTTATATAGGAGCTATATCGAACTCTGCATCGATTTTCCCGAAACTTCCCATACATCATTTTATACTCAATTCAGTACGCTACTCCAAATTTCGTGCAAATTGAAGGATACAAAGGAACTTTGGTGCACTACTTATCTTAAATCGGACGAAATGATATATGGGAGCTATATCTAAAACGGAACCGATTTTCACGAAATTTTACACACATCGTTCCAGACTTAAGTCAGTACGCTATGCCATTTCGTGCAAATCGAAGGATGTATAGGGAATTTGGTGCACTATTTACCTTAAATCGGACGAATATATATGGAATCAATATCTAAATCTGAAACGATTTTTCCCAATTTCAATAATACAATTTTTTTCATTTTTCACACAAAAGTATGGGTCCATTGGACCCGCTAAATATTGACCGATCTTTATCAAAACAGACATGCTTATTCTTTGGCCCGATCCCCTTCTCCGTGCGATGTTTAGGCCATAATTGCGGCCTCTGAAGCGACCAGAAAATCATCTTTTCAAAAAATAGGGGTCTTCATTAGCCAGAACCCATCCTACATGCAAAATTTCGTGAAGATTGGTCCATAACTGTGGCCTGTATCGTGTTTACAAATTATAATGGACAAACGGACGGACACATAGGTCTAGATCGACTTAGCCAGTCGAGATATGACGATCGGTATACTTAAAAGTGGGTTTAGGACCAATATTTCGCGGCGTTACAAACTCTTGGGGCTGCACAAAGCTATAATACCCTGGCAACATATTTGTGTAGAAAGCCCTTGAAAATATTTTTAAAAATCACTGGTTTATACTGGGAAATTGTGTTTGAAAAGTCAGTCTTTTTATATACATTGAAAAAATATTTTGAAAATTTTACGATTCCTTTTAGTCATTAAAAAAAAGGAACAAAACTGATTTTTGAAAAATTTTCGTTTCTTAAATGTCCTTAAAATAGTTTTGAAACATCGATATTTCCTAAGGGCCCCTGAAAAATATTTTTAAAAAATCTTTATAGTCATTGAAAAAATATTTTCAAAAAATTCACATTTTATAGCCTCCATTATATCTTTTATCATGTCATTGCATCCTTTCGATTCATGGTTGAACCCTCTATATAAATATATATCGTAATAGCATTAAAAAAAAAAAAAATTGTTCGGTCTTGTTTTCCATTCTCTTCTTGTTTTATTTTATAGTTTTGTTTGTATGCGCTGTTTCTCATTTTGTTTGCATATGAAATGACAATATGTCAATCATGTCATGTCTCTGGCTTGGCATCACAGTTTTATTTCACTGATGGATATGTGTAAGGATAACAACAGCAACAACCACAACTGAACAAAAAAGGATTTCATTTTAGTGTTGTTGTTGGCAGATATATTTTTATTGCCATTTTTTTAAATACTTGATGAAATTTAACACTTGTTTATATTTCAAATATTTATATAATGAATGGTGGGAGGAGGTGAAGTGGTGACATACAATCTACACAACATCGAGTAGATATATCAACAACTTTGATTGGCAGAAAAAACGACGAGAGAGTAGTTGATTTTGTTGTTGTCATTGGAGACACATAAAATTTCGACTTGTTAATAGGTTTTGCCATAAATTCATTTCAAGCTCAAAAAAATATTGTAAAATTTTATTATACATACGTATATATACATAAACGCAACCATACATACTCACATACAACGATTGATTGTGTAAAATATCCCTTTCTTTGCCGTTATAACCTCATTGGATTTCATTGTTGTAATATTCAAATAAAAAAAAATTTAAATTTTTGGTTTGTAAAAAAATATTTACCATTATGGCCTGCTGCCGCATAATTTATATTCATTGGTTTTTGATAACGTGGCAACAATGAAATATTTTTTGGTTTTTTTATTTTGTTTTTATTATATCATATTGATGATGGGCATAAAAATATATATTTGCCACATTAATAGGTTATAATATGAATTGATTGAATTTTATGTAAATTAATAAAAAATAAAATAGGGTGGAACGAAAAAGGGGGTCCGATTGGAATAAAATTTGTTAAAAAGTAAAATAAAAAATATTTAAAATAATCTTAATAATTGGCTTTAAAAATAAATGTTTATTTATTTTTTAGTTTTATATATAAGTTCAAAAATATTTTTAAAAATAAAAATTTAATTTTTTTAATTTATATTTTTAGTAGTCAATTTTAGTTTGTAAATATTTATAAAGATATTTTGTTAAAATAAAAAAAAATATTTTTTAGGTTATAATATGAATTGATTGAATTTTATGTAAATTAATAAAAAATAAATAAAATATAATATATATAATGGTAATAGGGAATCTTAAAAATTGGCTTTAAAAATTAATTTTTATTTATTATTTAGTTTTATATATAAGTTCAAAAATATGTTTAAAAATAAAAATTTTTATTTTTTATAATTTATATTTTTAGAAGTCAATTTTAATTTGTAAAGATTTAAAAATATATTTTGTAAAAAAAAATATTTTTTTTTTAACAACACACATTTTGTGTAAGGTTATAATTTTTAAAAATAAAAATTATATTTTTAATTTATATTTTTAGAAGTCAATTTTATTTTGTAAAGATGTATATAGATTTATAAATATATTTTGTAAAAATATAAAAAAAAAAAAATTTAATTTAATAACACACATTTTACGTAAATTAATAATTTAAAAAAAAATTTCTTTTTAAATTTATATTTTTAGAAGTCCATTTTAGTTTGTAAAGATTTATAAATATATTTTGTTAAAATAAATATTTTTTTATTTAATACCACACATCATCTATCATATTTTTTTTAAGTTATTCTGTATGTTATTGCAAATTTTTGTATCATAAAAATTATTATTATTTTTATTACCATAATTTTATTTTATTTTTTATATATCACCAAACATTGTTTTTTAATTTTATTCCCTTAATTTTATTTTTTTTTTCTTTTCATATGATTTCCTTTTTGTTTTATTTTACGTGAAAAAAATACAATTCCTTACACAAAAAAGTATGAATTAAAATTGGTCGCCTCGGATAGTTTAAATGAAAATGCCACCACAATTGTAATCAATGTACGAGATGTTAACGATTTGCCTCCGGTCTTTCCTCAGACACTGTATGAACGTACATTGGACGAGGAATTGAAGGCACCATTCACAATAATGCAGGTCGGGGTTTAATTTTATTTTTTTCTCACATTTTTATATTTTTTTCTTTGATTTCCTTTCTTTTG